GGACGTGTATAACCAAAATCTTGAATTGATTACTTTAATACAAATTAAAAATTACTTAAATGACATGTATTATTATTAATAAGTTATGTACTATTTTTTTATTAAATTTTTAGATTGGAGATGGTAAAATAAATACCATAGATGATAAAATACTACTACCAGAACATTTAAAATTACCATGCCAAGACTTAAAATCATTAATTAATATCATATATCCTGGAATCAATATATCTGGAACATGTAATGATAAATATTTTAGTGAACAAATTATTCTTTCTTCTTGAAATGAAGACATAAATTATATCAATCAAGATATTCTTAATATATTTCCAGGAAATAAATATAACATACATGAGTGCTGACACTACCATAATAGAAAAAAGTGTTGACAATAATAATATTTACCCCATTGAATTTCTTAATTCACTTAACCCCAGCAGAATTCCACTTGCGGAACTTAAGTTAAAAGTTGGTATCCCAATAATGCTTCTTAGAAATCTTGCACCAAATCAAGGTCTGTGTAATGGTACTCAATTAGTAATAACACAGATGACCAATCATGTTATTGAAGCATGAATATTATGTGGTAATCATGCTGGAGAATTAGCATTTATACCTCAAATTACATTAATATCTTCAAATTCCGAGCTGCCATTTATCTTTAAGAGGAGACAGTTTCCTATTCATGTTGCCTTTGCAATGACAATTAACAAGGCACAAGGACAATTGGTAAAATATGTTGGTTTGGATCTTCGAACACCAGTATTCTCCCATGGACAACTTTATGTTGCTCTTTCACGTAGTATTTCACTATATAATATTAAAGTCCTTTTACTGTATAATAATGTTGATACAGCAACAACAAATGTAGTATATCCAGAAGTACTTTTATAAACTTTATACAAAACCATAAATAAAATAATTATTTGATTATATTGTAGATACGAAAAAAAAAGATAATTAAAAAATAATAGTAATAAAATAAAAAATAATTACCAATTGTTTACTAAAATGGCAGAAATTTAAATGTATGGTTTCAACGATATTTAGGAATTTAAAGATGCATTTTTTCATTTAGAAAAAACAAGTTTTGATCATACTAAATATTAGATTTGTGGGCAAAATACAATTATATTATATTCAAATATATCCAATTATTTAAAAAAATATAATTGGTATCACCACCCTGTCGTGTTACCATTTGCGAAGCAAATGGTAACATACTAGTCTTTTATATACCATTCTTAGTCGAATGCCCTCTCTGTTTATTTTTTCCAGATAAGCATTCAATGTTTCCCTATTTAGCTTTAAAGTTATTTGAAGAGTTGTAGTGACCCTCACCGTACAATATATTTCGGGCAAGTCAATTAGAAGCTGAACTTTTATTGGCCTTGCATATTTAATTTCTTCAAAAAAAGGGTAACCTTCTTCCACGTTACAATTTTATGTAAACTCGAAATTGGTTACTTAATTATCAAGCGAAGCGGATCATGTGATTATCGTTAAGGTAACATAAACCACCAAATTTGCTCTCGTGGCGGAGGAAGAATTGGTCCACAAAGGGGCTTCGTTTTTTCAGAATCAATCAATTTCCCAAAAAGTGTTTAAAATTTTATCTCTCATTTCATAATTATTTAATGTCTGAAAAAAAAGTAAAATATTTTCTAAATAAATGTAATTCGTGAGATTAATATTTTGTTTAACATTCAATGTTAATATATATATATATATATGTGTATGTAGAGAGAAAATAAAATCTTCTATTCACTTCTAGCAGGATCAATTGCTGGTGGCGTAGAAGCTACAATAACAGTAAGTGGTGAATTTTGATTTAATAATCTTTGCCTTTACATATCACTTTTTTAACTCATTGTTTTTTAATTGATAGTATCCAACAGAATTTATTAAAACACAATTACAACTACAAGGTGCAACAAAGGTAATGTTAATAAATAATGAATAATAAATAATAAGAAAAGAAAGAAAGCATGTGAAAGTGGTGAAAATAAAAAGGTTGATAAATTTATCATGACTGCTTTCCTCAAAAAAAGATAACAATAATAAAATTATAAAAATTATAAAGAAATTCAAAGGACCAATTCATTGTGCAGTAACTACAGTAAAAACACAAGGATTTTTTTCACTATATAAAGGATTATCAGCCTTAGTGATAGGCACAGCAGCAAAAGCAGGAATCCGTTTTTTAACTTATGATCAACTTAAACTCTTGTTGCAAGATGATAAAGGAAACCTTACAGGACCTAAATCTATGATTGGTAAATAATTAAATCAATCACAATGTTGTTGTTGAATGTAAGAATTGAATTAATTGTTTCTATGGTTTTTTATTTTCATAGCTGGATTGGGAGCAGGGATGGTGGAAGCTATAACAGTTGTTACACCAACTGAAACAATAAAGTAAGATTACTACTATTGTTGTTATTGTTTAATCTTATATATATTGATTATAGGAGGAAAAAAGCCAATTATTTAATTATTGATTGATTGATTTCAGAACAAAATTAATTCATGATACAAATCGTTCTATTCCACAATACAAGGGACTTGTACATGGTAGATTAAAAATTAAATTAACTAACCATTATGATTGAAATTAAAATAATTTATTTATATTTCATATAAAACTACAAAAATCTCCAAATACAAGGTGTTTCGTTGATTGTAGCCAAAGAAGGACTTGGAGGAATATATAGAGGATTGTTTCCTGTAATGATGAGACAAGGAGCAAATCAAGCGGTAAGATTTTCAGTCTATTCAACTTTGAAACAAAGATTCCAAAAATATTCAACACCAGGACAACCACTACCATGGTCAGTCACATTCTTAATGGGAGCAATTGCTGGTATAATAACAGTTTATAGTACAATGCCATTAGATGTTGTTAAAACCAGAATGCAAGGATTAGATGCTACCAGTTTGTACCAAAATTCATTCCATTGTGCATGGAAAGTATTAAAAGAAGAAGGAGTACTTGCATTTTGGAAAGGTGTGACACCTAGATTGGGTAGATTATTGGTTAGTAATGCTATATTATATATAATTTAATAGTTAATGATAATTAATATTATTTATTTAATGATTTTTTTAATGTGAAATAATTAGCTTTCTGGTGGGATTATATTTACGGTGTATGAACAGGTCATGACTGGATTATATAAACTTGAAAATGTTAGAAAGAAGTGAAAAAATCTTCTGCCATTCATGTCATTAATCATGCATTTTTTTAATATGATCAAATCAGTAAGAAATTATTTAATATAGTAATTTCTTTGATGTATTAAAGAAGTAATAATATTAAAAAACTTGGTACACTAGAAGAAACCCATTATTAATATTTGTATTAGAAATTATTGAAATTTCAATAAGCATAATAATAATAATAAAGATCTTACAAGTAACCCATGTTAAATAAATTAATTTATATAATAATAATAATAATAATATTTTTTCTTCGCAAAAAAAGCAAAACTAGTATGATGCCTCTTATATAGTTGCAACATTACATGATAAAATGAATATAAAGATACTTATAATGTAATATTTTTATTAATTTAATTCAATGAAAAGATTTCTTGAACTCCTATAATTGACAAAGGTATAAATATTTAAATAATTAGCAATACAGCTAGGTGGTTGGTATCTATATATTCTTCAATAAGAAATATTTTATGTAATAAATTTAAAAAATTTAAATTCTTTCTTTTTAACTAAAATTTTTTATAATATCTATTTTGAATATTATATTCATCATTATCATTATCATCATCATCCTCACATAATGTTACTGTAACTGAATTAATTTCCAATGATTCCATAGAAGGTTTTTTTGTCTTAATGGCAATGTCAACCTGAGCATAGTGGACATTTGATTTCATTGGCTAAATTTTGTGACGATCTCCTTTCCAGATACACAGGTAAACTCGATAAGTCGGATTTGGCCTAACTCGGACAAAAATTTCCAGCCCTTTTTTTTTATATTTAAAAATTTCTTGATA